AAGACAAAAAAAATAAGGTGAGAGAGGGTCTTCCTGTCGAATGCCCCGTGAAGGGGTGATAGGTTGAGAAAGCTCTCCATTCCAGAGCAGCCGCATCCTGTTATTCTCGACACAAAACATGGTGCAGTTTATCCATGAGCTTGGCAGACCTATCTCCTTCAGAGTGTCTCTAAGGAAGTCCCAACGGAGACGATCGTACGCCTTTTCCAGATCAATTTTCATCACAATCCCTCCATTTTTGCCTTTTTTCCTCCTGAGGGTGTGAAGCACTTCATGCAGAACAATGATATTATCCACAGTTTGTCTGCCTGGAATAAAACTGCTTTGGCGCGGAGAGACCAGCTGCCTCATGATCAGCTTCAAACGGTTGGTGATCGCCTTCGTGACAGCTTTGAGGCAGACATTGTTCAGAGATATGGGCCTAAGCTGAGTCACCATTTCAGGGTGTTCTACTTTAGGGATGAGCACCACCGTCGAGTCAGTGATGCTATCCGGGAGGTAGCCTGCATCAAAGAAACTCATAGCCATATTAATCAGGGACTTCCCTACCACCTGCCAAGCCCGTTGATAAAAGGCAGCGTGAAATCCATCAGGACCGGGAGCTTGGAAAGGTTTCATCTCGTGAATCGCTCTGTGAATGTCTTCTCCCCCTGACTGGCCTCAAGAGCCAAAGAAGATCCTCCTGACTAAGGCGGGGAAAGCAATTCTTCGGCATCAGGTCAGTGTACTCGGAGGCGTTCTGCGTGTAAAGGGAAGAAAAGAAATTAAAAACCATTAAAGCAAGCTCCTGTGGGTCGTAGATCCACTCCCCATTAGTGTCCTTCAGGCTGACAATCCGATTTCTCCTTCCCCTGATGTTAGCCTGTTGATGGAAGTAGCCAGTATTCCGCTCCCCTTGCTGAACCCATTGCTCTCTTGCCCTTTGGAACCAGAAGAGTTCCTCTTGCTCCGGGATTTGATCGAGCTCCTTCTCCAGCTTGGTCTGCAGTTTGAATAATCCTGGAGAGAACAGTTTGCAACTCTCTCTTGGATTCCGTGGATGCGCGCCAGGAGTCTTCTCTTCTTGTAGAAGATGCTGCCAAAAGTTGACCGATTCCACTCGTTCAGGTCCGCTGCCATTGGGTGAAGGGCCTCCGGAAGCGAGATGAGCTCGTTCCACCCACCTGTTACAACATCATCAAAGGAGTCACTGGACAACCAATCAGCTTCAAAACGAAAGGGGAGAGTAAAGTTATGGATAACTCCCTGGTTTCCAACAGTGGTAAGAATGTGGTGATGATCCGAATGGAGACGAGGTAAGTGGGTGACGGTAGTGTTGGGGAAGGATATGTTCCATTGATCGTTGCAAAGGCTTCTGTCGATTCGGCTAGCCTTGAAAGAAACAGTACCGTCCCCTCTACTCCAGGTGAAGCGAGGACCCGAGAAACTGAGGTCAATGAGCTCGGCCTGATTGAGTCTATCGTTAAAAGCTTTGCACCTTCGGAAGGTATCGAGAGAAGGCCCATCCGTCTTTTCTTAAGGTAATCTGATGGCGTTAAAATCGCCGGAGAGAAGCCAAGGGAGGTCATTAGACAAACTCGTCCTGTAGATAGCTTGCCAAAGGCTGCTCTGTTGGCTTTGACGAGGGCTGGCGTAAACAGCAGCCAGGAGACACTTTGACGAATTGTTTCTCGAGACCTTCACCGTAAGATGTTGAGAGCAGGCCGAGACCACCTGACCTTCAAAATAATTGGCATCCCAGCAAAACCAAATTCCCCCTTTTCTTCCGTTAGCTTTGACCCTCAGAACGTTGGGAAAACCCAACTTGCCACAGATTCTGTTGGCATTATCAGCACTAACCTGGGGTTCTAAAACGAAAAGGAAATCAGGCCTGTAGGCATTAACAAGAAATTTGGAAGCCCTGGTCGCGGGCTCGTGGCGGCGTTACCTGCACCGCCAACGTTCCAGGAGAGGCTTTTTAAACTGTTAAAAGAGGAACTAGACATGGGAAATAACTTAAAAAAGGGGAAGAGAAGCAAAAGGGAAACATGACGTCATCAGGATGTAGCCACTTTAGGCGCCGGGGCTAGATTGTTTTCCCCTAACGGAGTCTCGGGCTCGTTTGTTGCCCGGAGCGAAACGTCGGCAGTGGAATTGGCTTTAGCAGCCCCGTCCAGGCGTCAATCTCCTGCAAAGTGAGGGCGGGCGGCAAGCTTGGCTCGCGCCTTGTTTTTCTTTCCTTTGACTGGGGACCATATCTGAAGCGCTTTCGGCGTGACGGGGAGCGGGGATTTCTTCGGCGACTTCAACTTCTTCTTTTGCTTCTTTGTTCGTTTCCCAACTGACGTCAGCGAGTCCTCAGTACTCCGACCATCCTCCTCCTTGGCCTTAGGAATATTCACGATTTGGATGGATGTTCCGCTGGGCCCTGCGATATCCGTCAAGGAAGGGGGAGTAAGAATGGCCGAAGCAGGCCCGGCCTTAGTGTCTTTGAAAGCCTCCTGACTTGTGGCGTTTTGTCCACTTGTTTCGTGGAATTGGTCTGGGGCCTGGGCCTTACGAGTAGATGGGTTCTTTTTATTGTTCATGGTCTATGGGGCAGGGCCCAAGACTCCTTTTCCATTTGTGGCCTCCCCTTCTGCCTCTAAAATCACCTTGCTTTTACCTTTTCCGGATCCTCCTCGATCTTTCCCAAGATTTCCGCCATTGGAGATCACTGCCCGTTGGTTAGTGCCGACGCGTCTCCCTTGCGCCAAAACATTGCCAGCAAGACTCTCCTTGTTATTGGACTTACCTTTCTCCACTTTCCCTATATTGGCGCTTACCCCATTTGCAGTTTCCAAACTTCCCTTTTATGTGTTTCGATTTCCTCGCCGTGATCTGCGGGAGACTTGCATCCAAGGTCCGTATCCGACTTTCTCCTCCGGTTGGATCGCCGGAGCATTTTCCGGCCTGCTTCCGAACTCCACCAAGGCTAGCGGCGGTGAGGGTGCCATCAGGTTTGGGCAGGAGCTCTCGGAGTGGCCAATCTTCCCACACTCAAAACATACATCCGGCAGATTCTCATATTCGAGATACTGCCACTGTCCGTCGAGGCGAATGCGCATAACCAAAGGTTTAGAGAGGTCGATTTCCACAGCTATCCTCGCAAACCTTGCTCTCTTTTGATGGAGGGTGTGGTAATCAAGCTTAATCGGGCGGCCAATCATATTTCCAAGCGAGAAGAGGACTTCTCGGTGATAAAAGTGGACTGGAAAGGCAGGAAGCTGAACCCAGACTATCATCAAATTCGGGAGCTTGTTGTTCAACCGAAAAGCAGGGGTCCATTGCTGGACGAGAAGATAGTGATCGAAGATGGTCCAAGGGCCTTCCGTCAGAGCTCTAAAATAGTCTGTATCGTTGCTGAGCTTGACTAGAAAGCACTCTGGGCCAAGCACCAGAATATCCATAGCCTCTATTGGTCGCCATTGCATCTTGATCTTGTTGATGAAGGTAGTGAAAGAAATTTGGATACCTAGCGTACGAACCACCAGAGAACGTTGCCGCGGGGCACTCAATTTGGTTTTCCGAGACTTTCAGTTCCGGCTCCCAATTGTATGTGCTAGGAACTAGGTCGTGTTCCCCTATTGGAGTCCATGGGGTTGCCTCTTGTGAGCCTCTCGATCTCTCGCCCAGAACCGCCCCTGCGTACGAAATGGGGCGGTGGCTGCAATCGTCGGCGCAGGTGGTCCCGCGGGAGGGATGTCCACAGCCATACTATCACCAGCAGATGTTGTCGGGGGGGGGGGGTCTGAGAGATGGTCGTGGGAGATGGGGCCTCGTCAGACGGCCGATTGGAGAGATTGAAGATCGTCGCCGGAGCAAGCTGTTCAGAGCTCATTGTCGATATCCTTCTATAAATATACAAATTTGCATTAAATGAAATGGTATTTGCTCAATCGCAAATCCTACATTTCACTCAATATACAAACTTACATTAAATGAAATTGACGATGCAAACCACATAGGAAAATAAAATATAATAATTTAATTTTCTCTCTAGATTTATTTAGTTTTATTTATTATAAAGTTACTTAAATCCTTATATAGGCAATTGCAAGTAAATTGCATTGATATATAGGTGTAATGAAATAGAGTTGAGTTGAATTGCTTAAAATATGAGATGTCAATAAAAGCATCATATGCAATTGGGTTTGCAATTGCATTGATGTGGATGCTCTAATAGAGTTAGGATTAGGAATGATAACAAGGCACGTTGAAATTAGTATGTCGATACCTACATCTGCTCTGTGGCAGGTTGGATATTTTGTTTTGAGACGCGGATCGAGACAGGTCGATCCATACAAACATGTGTTGTAAAGATAGAACATTAAATAAATTAATTTTTTTCTCATTAAAATTTTATAACATGATAAATGTAGTTACATTGATAACCAACTACACCACCCCCGGATATTGTTGATATTGTCAATTTTAAAACAAGCATGCACTTGAAAGTTACATGAATCCAGTTCACATCATCCATATTCATCCAATGATACAAACACTTTTTTATCGTGACTTGGTAACTCACCCAAAATATACAGTAGATGATCTATGGGTCTCAATTCAAACTATATTTCTTTGTTCTTTTCAATATGTCAAGATGAAAACGAACCCTTACATATCTTCTGATTGCTAAATCTTTTTACGAGAAGGACAATCAACCAATAGTTGTAATATGACATATATAAAAATTAAAAAGATCGAATATGCAAACATGAACCTTATATGAAGTTGCGATGAGAAGAGAGCACTTAACCTCTTCCCTAAACAACTTCAAAGTCTGTATATAGTACATAGGGGCTAGAGCAAAGACTCTCATGCTTGAAGTTCTAAATAATTAGGTCGAATGAATATAATCCTAAATTTTTTTTATTGACTGTCATACCAGTTTTAGATATTGACATTCACATCCCGCCAAGTTATAATGAACCGAACTAGCTAGACATCTCATCTCACCCTCAAAATACTTGCAAAACAACTCATTAATAATTTTACACATAACAATTATTTACATTCACCTTCACCTAATCAATTGATCAAAACATTTCATCACAGGAGTTTACACAAAATGACATTTTTTGCACCACTGTACTTCTACTTTTTACCTTCTCACATCCCACTTTACTTCTATTTCTATATACACCATACCTTTCCTTCCCCCCATGTACAAAAATGTTGATGAGCGGTAAAAATAAGAAGTACAATTTGTCCCCGCTTCCATTTACTCACTTAACCACATCTCAGAACAATTCCCTGCTCTCAACCTCATCCTTGCTTCCATGCACCCTTTCCAAACAGTCAACCCTCCCACTCCCGTCCCGAGTGCACACTAGCCTTGGTTCAAGGTCTCCCACAAAGATGCGCACTCCCTTCTACCAAACCCAACCTTGCTCTTCTCCAAATCATAAACCACCTCAAACCCTTGCTGTTGGTAATTCCCCAAAGTAGCCCCCGGCCCGCCGCTCAGCTCCTCCTCATCTCCACCGTTCATCAGCATCAAACACCCAACCTTCCGCTTCCCCTTCTTCCCATTCCCACCGTCCACGAACTCGTAGAAATAGTTCTTCCTGGGCATCACCACACTCGATCCGTTCCCTGAGAAATGCAACACAAGGCTGGGTACGCTCGCAACGGCGTCGTTCAAATAATAACACGGGCTCAACCCGGTGTTCCCCTCGATTTCCCGCGCCCGCTCGTGAACCCGCCCGACCCGATTCTCGAACTCCGCCACCACGGAGTTGTACAAACCGGCGGGGAGCATCGTGAACGTTGTACCCGAATCCACCACCAACCCGCCCGTCCCTCCGCCGTCGACCTTTTTCAAAAACTCTGGCGCCCGAATATTCCTCTTCCCGACCGAAATCCCCTCCAGCCCTACCGTGTAGAAATACGGATGCTTCGGGTTGTCCAGCAACGAGGTGTAGAAGTACCGGGTCGGGTCATTTTCCTCATCACCGCCGCCGCCTCTACGCTTCTCCTTCTCGTCGTACCGTCCCAGAATCAGCGGGCTCGGCCGGCGGACACGATCGGAGTCGAACGAGTGGGAGACCAAGCAATAGGAGAATCGGTTTCCGAGCTGAGGCGAATCGGCGGCGAGCTGTGCCGGCAGGGAAAGCACTCCCCTGCCGAACCCGGCGACTCCCACTGGCTCCGCCAGCGCAGTGTGGGCGCACCCGAAAGTGAAATTCCGGAGCTTGAGCGACGGAGACGCTAACGGAAGGGTAACGGCGTCGGTGTAAAGCCGCGCCACTAAGCTTCCGTCGCCGTAAGCGTAGTAGAAGGAAGGGCACTTGTAGGACTGACAATCGGAGGTTTCGATCAATTCCAAGGGGCAATTGGCGATTGCGCAGAGGTCGGAGGAGGGGAGATTGGAGTGGACGGCGGAGCAGGCGGCCGATTTACAGGGGACTGCGGCTGCAGCGGAGGAGAGATTGGCGAGAATCGCTGCCGCGGCGGAGGATTGGGTTTCGGTCTCGCCTTCGCAGAGGATGCATTCGAAGGGGCGGCAAGGGAACCAGACGAGATCGCTACCGGTGTCGAGGTATAGAGAGACGTGCTGGGGTGGGCTGGTGTCGAGAGTGAAGGAGAGGGTGTAATCGCTGCCCGGAGACAGGGGAAGTGATACTTGGCGGTGAGCCTTGTGATGACGGTGGTGGCGGTGGCGGGAGGCGGAGCGGGCGGAGGCGGATTTGAGGAGGTGGTGGGTGGAGGCGAATTGGGTTGTGGAGAGGGAATGGGTTAGAGGGAGGAGGAGTTGTTGGGAACGGGAAACAGAGACATGCAGGAGAAAACAGAGCATGGAGAAACAGAGGATGAAGAAAGCAGGGGAATTGGGCTTTGCCATTTTGTGATAATTTTGACTAGAGAAGGATGTAAGGAGAGAGAGAGAGAGAGAAGGGATTTATAGGGGGAGAAGGCAAGGAAGGAAGTTGTGGCCTTGTGGGGTTTATATGAGGGGGAATAGTAGGTTGGTGTCAATGGGGATTTCGTGCCTTTCATTTGATTGTTGGACTATACAGAAATTGGGAAGGAGATGGTGATAATGATTGGAAGGGAAAGTTATATTAAGCAAAACAAGGAAATAATGGGGGAGTTTAGAATATTATTACTATAAAGTGAGGATAGCGATGGTTTGGGTTGGGACTTGGGAGCAGAGTTGTTGGTTGGAATTAAGAAATTGGAAAGTTGGTTTAGCAATTCAGAGTTGGAGCTACTAAGTTAATGACAGACTATAGTTGATAAGGCATAAGCCTCCCTCGCCCATTCAAACTATTTGTATGTAAATTTTAGCCCCTCATTCAAATTTCTTGTGCCGCCACTATTTAACATGTAAAAGAAAATATGGTTCAAAGTCCCAACAAAGGTGTAGTTAGGTTTAGTCCAGTTAAGGTGGATTTTCCCCCTAAATACAGTAATATTCCCCCAAAAAAACACCTAAGTTTGGGGCGGTTCGAGTTAGAGAGCCTCAAACCACTAATGAGATAGAGTGGAGAGCCTCGATCCACCTTCTGAGATAGTGGATCGAGTCTGAGGGCCTCGATCCACTGTGTTGAATTTCCAATGACCTAATTTTATGGTCGTTTATCCGATCATAGTGTATTTTTATTTTTGATTCTGCATAACTTTTCTAGGACTACAAATTTTTCCCAAGAAATATTTTCAAAATGTATGTGGAAATGTGAAAAGTAAAGATAAAGTTATTATGAAAATCCCTTATATCCAAATGATTTTCTATTTTGAAAATTTCTTTCTAGTCAAAGTTGTAGTATTAAAACATCTATGCAAAGTAAAAAAAAAAATCGAAAAATCAATTTTTTCAAACTTTAGACGATCATAACTTTGTGCTTCGTAATCCGATCGTAGTGAATTTTTTTTATTTTGCATAAATTTTTTAGTACTAAATTTTTTATTAGGAAGAAATTTTCAAAATGTGAAATGTTTTTTGATATAAGGAATTTTGAGAATATGATCCAAAGTCCCAATAGAGGTGTTTAGTCCAGTAAGGGATAAGAGGCGAAAACATAAAAGCCGCCATGGTCAGGGGACGGTTGTTTTTGTTTGAGCTCTCGTGTTGATTAGAAAACAGCTAACTGAGTCGGGCAGCTGTCGTCGACTGATCAAATTAGAAGTGGTGGAGCGATGTAGGGGGCAAAAGTTGATTTGATGTGCTGAGGCTTCATCGTGCAATGTGGGTGGGGGAGTCAAAATTGGAGTGACCTTGCGTCTTGTAGGCTGTAGCAAGTGAATCCTTTGACAAACTCTTCTTTGATTGGTTGATTAATTTGCTTGCTGAGAGAGAGAGAGAGAGAGAGAGAGAGAGGGGTAGTTAAGGATATCAATGGAAGTTTATCAAATAGCTTAATGAGATTTAGTCAAATGGGTCATGTCATTAGATCATCCACATCAATAGAAAACTTAGTATTGTAGTTGTGTTGTTTTCATTAGCGGTGAGATACGATCCTATTAAATGAGATATTTTGAAAATTCCCTATTTATTTCTAAATTATTTCGACAAATCTGTAACTCATAATGAAATTCACTCAATTATATAAAAAAGAATGAATTGATGAGTGTGTAATGATTGATCATTTCAAATGATTAAGTATTTTGTCTCGATCCATACTTTGTTAATGGTTTCTTTCAATTTTTCATATTGTGAATGACCAGTGGCGGAGGGAGCTTGTATGAGGGTGAGTTTCGACACCCACCTTAGATTTAAAAGGACATCTAAAAATTATTAGTAAATGTAAGTTTTTTATGAGAAACTATACGTAAATAAATGTAAGTTACGTATGAGATTCTAACCATATATCATGTAATAATTGAATAACACAAATCATAGAACTACTTATTGTATGTGATATATTTGTTATTGATCTATTCTAATTGTTACATAGACGAATTGGAGCTAATGAACCATGTTACATAGACGAATTGGAGCAAATGAACAATCTGTTGTTAATTTCTTAGTTCTCTGGTTCCCATATTTTTTTTAGTTCATCTCTCTAACCAAAAGTAATTGCCAAAACTTCACCTAACCGACAATGGTTGTGTCAGGATCTTCGTTAGTGTATTAACTTGTAAAATTTGTTCTCTGGTTCCCATATTTTTTTTAGTTCATCTCTCTAACCAAAAGTAATTGCCAAAACTTCACCTAACCGACAATGGTTGTGTCAAATTAAAGATCCCTTTGAGGATCTTCGTTAGTGTATTAACTTGTAAAATTTGTGTTGTTGCTTGTCTTTGCAATTGTTGAAAGTGTATTTTTTTTATAATGTATTACATGAAGAACATACTTCAAAGTCGAATTATTGATGAATTCATAGTGATTTTTGTATTGATATATTGAAAAGTTGCATATTCGATAATTAGATTGGCTGATGATGCGATTTGTAAATTTTAAGATTTGAAAACACATAGTATATCATTGTAAATTGTGACAAAGTTCAACTTATATATTTTTTTCATTTTGAACTCACCTTGAGTAAAATCCTGACAAACACCCCTACACCTATAATATATGAAAATATACAATAAGGAACTCGATTCAGACTCTAAACAATTGAGCGTATGTGTAAGTTTGAAGGTGGAAAAATTGGCATTTCACATGAAAATGGGAGATGGGTTTTCGAGTTTGCTTGTAATGGAGATACAAACCATCCCCTGCCTGCACTTCTATCCCGAGTTCGACGCAAGCATGATTGAAGGGTTCATCTATACTAGATTTGAACCGGCCCGTTGGCCGGATACATTTCATCAATGTTATAAACAACAATAATGATTGTATAAATTAATATATTAATTTAATGCTAACATATAGAATCCAAAATTATTCAGTTTAGAGACGGAGCCAGAATTTTAGGTTAGGGGGACCGAAAAATTTTGCAGATCGGTCAAAATATAGAATCCAAAATGCTTTTCCTTCAGTCGACAATCCCGACGATCGTCCTGATAAGAAGAAAAAACAGGGGCCCAAGGAGATGTGGAGATTTTGGCTCCCACATCCGGCCGATCTGGAGGAAACTAATCCAGAACTAAACCCGCTCGTGGGGAGAAGATCGCAGAACCCCAACCCTGATATTGATCAATTGGAACTCTGTGAAAGATTGAAACAAAAATTCCCCTTAGGGGGTGGTAGTTTTCCCGTGAAAACGGCTGATATGCAAAGTGGCAATGGTCAATTAGGGGTGAATGGAGATGTGTCTACCTCCAGCACCAATGAGGATGTTCTCGGATCGTTGGGTCGAGTGACTCCCTTCGGAACTGAGGATTCCGGTGAGCTTCCAGCGAAGAGGCAGGCGTTGCGTCGCTTTGCTTCGCGGCGGCCCAAGGATTCCGGCGACGAGTTGAGGGGTTGCCCTGACACCGCCGATGAAAGTTGCAGGATGGGGGAGACGAATATCTTCCGAGCGGATAGGACGGGCGAATCCCGAAATCCTCGCAGTTGGTTTAGCGCAAGCCGCGGTAACATACTGATTTTAAAAAAATCGATAATTCCCCCCCAAGAGAGGCCTTATCCGAAGCAAAATCTGCTTCCTCGGAGGCAAGGGGGGATACGTCTCTTCGGAGGCTTTTCAGATTTCGTTCGCTATAAATTGGGATCGACCCAACCCTTCCTTCCACTTCACAACTCCCGGAAGATTGAGATCGATACAGAAAAAATTAATTCTGGTGGCTGGCGATCTGCTGTCCCCGAACTTGCGATCCGACCCATCTCTATATCCCATCTTCAGTTGCCGGTGTGGTCAGCTCCTGCGCTCGGGTCTCGATTGATCGTGAGCTTCAGTCGGCCGGTCCCGAACCTTTTGTGCTTGACAGGTAAACATCTCTGGGCCGGTGGGATTGATTTTAGTTTTGCTTCGACATTGTTAAATTCACTCTTGAGTGAATTAAATCCCCGCTGCATTCCCGCCGATTGGCTGCCGCAATCTCTTTGGGGCAAGGTGGATAGACCTCTCGAGGTTGAAACAAATAACATAAAGGCACTGTTGCCCATGCCTCCTGTTCCTTTGGTTACAGAGCCGGACATTACCCAGAACCCTAACCAATTATCTATTCCTTGTGACCAGGTGATCATGATGTCGCGTATTGCGGAGGATCAAGTGGTTGAGTTCTCGCTGGAGGAAGTTCAGTCTGTGAAATTTCGCACCTCGAGAACATTGTTGGGAAGGCTCTTCTCGGAAAATAGATTCACGACCAATGAACTGCGAGAGGGCTTAATTGATGCTTGGCGGGTGAAAGGAAACCTTCGGGTTACGCTCACTAAATTTGGTTTGTTTGAAGTGGTGCTTCCCAATGATGAAACGAGAGTGTGGATTCTGAAACGAACGCCTTGGATTGTCAAAGATAGGATTTTCCATCTTTGCTCTTGGGTTCCGTCTATCTCACGGCTTACTTTTGATGAGTTGGTCATTGCACCCTTCCGCGTGCAACTCTGGAACGTCAAAGAGGATTGTTGCACTAGGCAGTTTGGCCGAAAGGTCGCAGCTGGGATGATTGGACAAGTCTTGGAGGCGGATGTCTTTTCATCGCAAGACACAGAGGAATGCTTTGTGAAAGTCCATGCACTCATCGATTTCACAAAACCCTTGCGTTCCCAATTCATGGCAGTCAGTGAGGAACTTGGGAATTTCTGGGTAAATCTCAAGTACGAATTTTTGCCGACTGTCTGCTTTCATTGTGGTCGAGTGGGGCATTCGAAACGTGACTGTGTTTTCGACCCACCTCCTGGCAAAGAACGCTTCGGCCCTCACATGTCGACAAAGAAGCTAGGGAGGAAGATATTCAGGGAGGAGGAAGACTACCCGGTTTTTCGGAACCCAAGTAAGTCTGTGTGGGTGAACAGGGATGTGCAAGGTTTTAATAGAGGTAGTGCTAAAACCTCTAGGGGGCGAGCGCAGAAGGGTGCTTCGGGGAATACGGAACGCTC